TATTCACAATAATTAACATATCATCACTGTCAAGCAAAAACCTTGTATTGGGTCATTCTACAGAAACGTCCACTTTTCTATCTCTCCATAGGAGTCACTGGTGTTACTGATCCTCATTGGTGTTACTCATAATAAAGTTAACATCAGAGACATTTTAATGAAAAATACATTTCACAAAACAGCTGCTACAGAACATCAAACCACATGTTGTCCATCATGGAATATCCACCAAAATATGTAATTTAATCTGTTTGTATTCTATTTGTTCACAATTACCTCAGAATAAAGTCGGTCACACCAGTGACTTCAGCTAAAAGCTTCATATGAAATCATGAGCTAAATGAGAAAATCTCTGATAACTGAAAGACACAGTGGACTCACCATGTGCTTTTCTTCATAGATCCTCAGAAAACAGGTAAAAGGAAGTCAAGTGATGTCATCAGTGTGACTTTTATTTCAAAATAAGAGATTTTTTGTTATACAGTAACACCAGTGACACGACTCCTGGGGACCACAACTTTCATTATATACTTTATAATATTTATTTGGCATTTGTTTTCTTTATGTCATTTAATGTATATATTCCATAGTCATGTTTAGATTATTACATTTAACGTTTTTTTCTTAAAAATATGGCCTCATCCTTTACACATGACTGTGGGGACGAGCTCTTCTGTGGTGCTTGGAATTCTAGATAATTGATTTAAAAACTAATATTGATAAATTAATGGTTGAAGAAGATGCAATTGTTAAAATAATTTATTGTTTTATTTAAAAACATAAATAAATTGTAACCCTAACATGTTTTTTTAAGCGTAATATGTCTGTAAATGCTAGGGACACAAAAATGGAAAACTCCAGTTACCCTTTGCATTGTGTTACAATTTCTTGATGAAGAGAGCAACAGAAACAGTCCAAAACCTTAACTTCATTGATTTTTTTTCATTCTCCTGTATAATTTTACAGATACAAGGTTTTGTTCTGATGACAACAAACTTTGGTTGGCTTCTAGTTTGCACTAGAAGGCTGGATCCATTGTGTGAAATTGTGTGTTTTTTTTTGGTTCCACGTTTGCTGGCAGCTCCAGCGTTGGCTGGCTGCTAACTCACTCACCATAGTGATGCTTCAGTATCAGTAAAGTGTCTGTTTTATCAGTTGTTCTTCTGTAGAGTCTCTGTTCTAGTGCGGTTCTGCGCTCTTCCTCGCATTAACTGAGATCTTCCTCATCTCCTTTTCTGTCTTCAGTGTGAGAAATGAGGAACAGTCACTCTTCACTCCAAACTCTTGGGAAACTGGGCAAGCTTTCAGATTTACAGATTTGCTGCAGCTCATTGTAAAGTTTTTCAGAGGGATCCGGGCAGAGTTACAGTTTCTAGACTATGAAGGACCAACTAGGTGAACCAGTCTGCTACAGCGCCACCCTGAGGCAGAGCGGTGCTGCAGCTCTAGTTAGTTAAGAACACCAAAGACAGAAGCTGATTGTGGGTGAAGCAGATAAACAATGAGCATTAGTTTATTTGGAATTAAGCATCTATTTTTCCCCTAACAGATAGCATAACATTATAACAGGTTTATTTTAGGAACATCCCACCCAAGAAATTCAATTTTGAGACAATCCAGGGGTCCAAGACACCCTATATTTTGCACCTTGGCTGGATCCCCCTTTTTGAAGAGTGGAATGTAGTAGTGATGGAACATGGCAGTGTGCAAAACCTGTCCCAGAGAGCTTCACTTGTGTGTCTTTTTCACCTAAAACACAATCAGACATTTTGAAAATATCAGTGTGTTGCATCAAACTCATTGGTGGCAAAGTAAAGCCATGCCACTTACAAGAGAGCAATAAGAACAACAAGACAGTTCTTTTTACATTTCTTTTATCTGTCCATTTTATCTTTGTATTTCTGTTGTCTGTGCTGCAGGAATCCCTCAAGTGGTCTTCATGACGAGAGTGGACGAGGCGTGCGTTCTGACAAAGAACGATTTAAGCAAGATCTACCAAAGCAAGAAGATCAAGGATAAAGTGAGTGTCTCTGATACTGTGTGTTTTTCTGCTTTTTCCCTCATCCCAACATACCCTGTCCTGCCCTGGAACATTTAAACTGCTAAAGTAACAGCACTGCGTTTCTCCAGATGCATGATTGCAGTAATAAACTGGGCATCCCTCTGAACTGCATCTTCCCCGTGAAGAACTACCATGATGAGATTGGTCTGAATGACAATGTGAACTGTCTAATGCTGGAGGCCTTAACACAGATTGTACTTTGGGCTGATGACTATGTTAAGAGATGTTCAGAGAAACAGAAACATGTAGAGTGACTGTTCTTCATAGAAGACTTTGTAAATTTGCAATTTTTTCACACAAAGCCACATATTTTCATTTAGCAAAACTGCCAAAACAGTAAAATGTATGCTAATTTCAAATTGCCGTATATAGGCATATGCAGGAGCTTGAGCACCCCTAGTCAAATGACATGTTGATTTTCTAAGTGTAAATAAGTTAGAGAACAGGAGTATGTTCATTGCAGAGAACACACTTCTGCACGTTTTAATGCACAATTAATATGTATTTACTGAATTAGAAAAAAACAAATAAACAAAAAAATATAAAATGCATAACCTTTGCAAAAGTTTTTTTTCCAAATATGTCAGCAAAAAAATAATGATTGCGCACTAAAATTAGTAGAAAAATCTCTTAATTTAGTTTGCTCTCAGTACAGGATGTAGAAAATCAATAAAACATGGAATGTAACTTTTACATACAACTGTGTATTCTTAAGCTCCGCCTACTTTATATGTCACTTATAGACTATAGTTCATCTGTTGCCACATTATCAAGCCCCCTCTGCTTCATTGATTATCAAGTTATTATTAAGTTATTATTTAAATTATTAAAACATTAAAGGTATAACTGCAACCAACATTTCTTGTAGTTTGATATCAACAAACAAGCTGAAAAGTGTGCAACTGCAAAAGTGTTGAATTTTTTTACTGTACAAACTGAATCGGATAAGGTTCATGCAAGTTAAGGACTGTCTGCATATCATTCAGTTGTTCATATACAGTGGTGCTTGAAAGTTTGTGCACCCTTTAGAATTTTCTGTATTTCTGCATAAATGTGACCTAAAACTTCATCAGATTTTCACACTAGTTCTAAAAGTACATAGAAAGAACCAAATTAAACAAATCAAACAAAAATATTACACTTGGTCATTTATTTATTGAGTAAAATGATCCAATATTACAGATCTGTGAGTGGCAAAAGTATGTGAACCTTTGCTTTCAGTGTCTGGTGTGACCCCCTTGCGCAGCAATAACTGCAACTAAACGTTTCTGGTAGCTGTTCATTAGTCCTGCACATCGGCTTGCTGGAGTTTTAGCCCTCCGTACAAACCAGCTTCAACTCTGTTATGTTGGTGGGTTTCCTGCCATGAACTGCTGCTTCAGGTGCGTCCACAACATTACTATAGGATTAAGGTCAGGACTTTGACTCAGCCATTCCAAAACATTAACTTTGTCCTTCTTTAGCCATTCTTTGGTAGAATGACTTGTGCTTAGAGTCGTTGACTTGAAGCTTGACCCACGTTCTCTTGAGTTTCAGCTCACGGACAGATGTTGTGACATTTTCCTTTAGAATCTGGTTTAATTCAGAGTTCATTGTTCCATCAATGATGGCAAGTCATCCTGGCTCAGATGGAGCAAAACAGGCCCTTGACACTACCACCCCTGTGTTTCGCAGATGGTATATGGTTTTTAGGCTGGAATGCAGTGTTTTCCTTTCTCCAGACATAACGCTTCTCATTTAAACCAAAAAGATTTATTTTGGTCTCATCTGTCCACAAAACATTGTTCCAACAGCCTTCTGGCTTGGCCATGTGATCTTTAGCAAACTGCAGATGCGCAGCAATGTTCTTTTTTGGAGAGCAGCAGCTTCAAATAAAAGCGAGCTGCAAACGCAGAAGATACTTTCATCAAAATGAAAATATGGGCGCTGCACTTTACAAATGTGTTGCAAATTTGCAGACACTCTGAAAACTCAGCATTCTCATCAAACTGATGACACTAATGCTACGTTTCATAAACGTGCTGCAAGTACAGAAAACACATGCAACTTCAGAAATGCTGCAAAGCCAGTCACAGCATAACGGAAATGTCTCTGGAAGACTCAATGGGGATGGAATATTTATGATGAAAAATCACTGACAGAAATAGATAAGACCGCAGGCGCTCACATCCCCAGTTCGTGGTTGAACTGGCTGGCTGGTTTGCTATCTGGCATGTCATAGCTGTACTGTGGTAGTCACCTGGTATTACTAGTTAAACGTTCACAGTAACAATCTACAGCTAATTCCCATTACGATACTGTGATAGCAATAATCTACTCAAATAAAAGTCAACTTTTACCGGTGAATGTTTGTGCTGCAAAGGATTTAAAAGTCCCATTGATTGAAAACACCTGACCCCAATTTCACCTTCAAATGATCTGCTAATCCTAAAGGTTCACATACTTTTGCCACTCACAGATCTGTAATGTTGGATCAAGTCCAGTATATTTGTCTCATTTGTTTAATTTGGTACTCTTTATCTACTGTTCAGACCTGTGTGAAAATCTGATAAAGTTTTAGGTCACATTTATGCAGAAATATAGAAAAGTCTAAAGGGTTCACAAGTTTTCAAGCACCACTGTACATAGTTTCAGATCAGCTGGCTGCACCAGAAAAGTCATCAGAAAGGTGTACGATGCTTAGTTTGCTTTGCTTCATTAGGAACTAGTCAGTCCTACTGAAGGTGAAGACTAAACATGGAGAAGCAGCTTTTAGGTACTATGCTGCTCGTAAATGGAAAAGTTGACCAGAAAACGTTCCAATTTGAGCAACTTTCAGTATAATAGGTGAGAAAAAAGGCTGCTTCTGCTGTTTAATCTGCTCTTCTCTGTTAATCACATGATTTTTCAGTACAGTTGTTGCACATACTGGATATGTAAAGAACACCATCTACCAAAGTAAAAAATTCTGAGACTTTTATTCAGTTTGCGTCACAAACTTTTTTAACAAGAAAACATGAATGCAAATAAAGGTCACACATCAGTCACGCTTTAATTACTCTGAATAAACAAAACAATAATAATAAAGTCCAACAAGAAAGGAAGCCTCACTCGTCTTTTATACAGGAAACACAGTAGCATACAGAGAACTCTGCTTCTAAACTGTGAAATTGATACAAATGTTACTGCTCCCAACAGGGACACGAACATAACACCTCCATCGGCAAAGTAGAGTTTTTTCATGTTTTCATGTTGTGCTTAACAGTCAACAGGTGTCCTTAGCTTATTTTCTCTGTTTCAAGTGTGAATGAGTGGGGTACCAAAATTACTTCTAAGACTTCAGGAGGAGATCTTTTCATGACATTACATACCATGACCATTAGAACACCAGCAGCGAGCTGGCATTTCGTCAGCAAGAAGGTGAACATAAAAAATATTTAAACTTTAGAAAACTGGAAAGACGTTCTATACGTTATATTTATCTGCTTATACACTCAGATTTTAGGAGAGTACCTATATGACAACCAACCTTCTAAATTTCTTGGTTTTCCTCAATTCACAAAAGCTTTTCTAACTGTTGTGGTCCATATTTGAAGCCTATGACATGTCCAAATAACCGTGAACTAACTTGCAAACATTCCATAGAGGAGGGTTGCCCGATACCACAGTTATAACTTTCCAGGCATAACTTTAGGACCGCTGCGCCGACTGGTCGTAAACTACATTTTCACTAAGACTGGTGACTTTTAAGCCTATTTGGAAGCAGCCATAATCTCAAACTGCAGACCTTTTCTAGGCCTTCTTGGCCACCTAAACAAGCTAGTTCTTTGCTTGTAAAGCGCTGCTGTACATTGTGCCAGTTGCTGCTTGAGTTATTGGCACAGCATGCAGCAGCGATTAAAAAGCTAACTTCAATAACTACTAACTTGTGTATCAACAGTACATGATTAGCTGTGCTGCCAAATGTGCAAAAATAGAGACACATTGCTTCGTTCATACTAAGTTTAGAAAGAGCTGTCAGATGTCTGCAAGTACCTTTTACCCCATTTTCTTGTGTGCGTTTGGTAGCCATCTTGTGCTAAAGTTCTCGCCTTGCACATACTACGATTAAAAGCAGATCTTCCAGAGCTTAAGTCCCGTCTCTCACGCAGAGAAATGGGAAGAGCTGTGGTGTTTCAGGGTTGTCATGGTCAAGGTGGAGGGGTTCAAAACCCCCAAAATAAGTAATAGGATGGTCGCGGTTCAAAACGATGCTGTCCTACCAAACCACCTCATGTTAATCTTTTTAACAGGATGTTTATCTATCAGCGTGATACTATAACTTGATCAACAGGCAAGTGTCATTGTTGGAGAAATTATTCCTGGTGTTGCAAGTAGCAGGTATTGGCACGCGAAAGTTTTTACTTAGTAACCTAGGTTGCTTACATATGTTTATACGTGAATTCAAACCACCAAAACCAGTCTCATTTGCACCGGTTGGTTGGTGCGATGGGCGTAAAGTTCTCTCTACAACCGACTTAGCAGTTAAGATCATCCTTATTAAGACCTGTTGGTGCAACTGGCCCCAAAAGCATCTGAATATTAGAGCCAGGTGTGCTGGATCTGAACTCTACAGGGTGGTAGATCACCAGGACCAGGAATGGGCAACCCTACTTTAGAGGAACATGGTACCAGATCTCAGCACAATGTTTTATAACATTCACTGCTTTGGGAGGTATGGTGCTATGGTTGATATGTGCTAAAACCATAGATGACATGGACCTGAAGATACCGAGCCTAAACTTGTAGATTGTAAGGCATAATAATCACACAATCACAATATCATGTAGGCATACAAATCACACAAGAGAAAGCAGGAACCTTCTCTTTTACAGCATTAACAACCGCCATCATTACAAGCTATTTAAGCATCATTAAGGCTAGCCTAAAAAACTGATAATGAAAACATTTATTAAATTGACACACAAATTTCATAGATTTCTGCCTCCTTTTTAATGCATTTGTGTCTCTGTAACGAATTTGAATGCCTGAAGTTCTTCCCGCACTCTGAGCAGTAATACGGCTTCTCCCCAGTGTGAATGCGCTGGTGTTTTTTGAGAGTACTTGTATCTCTAAAACTGTTCCCACATTCTAAGCAGTGATACGGTTTCTCTCCAGTGTGAATGCGCTGGTGTCTCTGGAGATGACCCTGTAGTGTAAAGCTCTTCCCACACTCTGAGCAGTGATACAACTTTTCCACTGTGTGAATGCGCTGATGCAGCTGGAGACTAACCTTCTGATTGAAACTCTTTCCACACTCAGAGCAATGATACGGTTTCTCTCCAGTGTGGATGCGCTGGTGTGCTTTGAGATTACTCTGTTGAGTAAAGCTCTTCCCGCACTCTGAACAGCGATACGGCTTCTCTCCCGTGTGAACGCGCTGGTGTCGCTGGAGACGTGTCTGTTGATAAAAACGCTTTCCACACTCTGAGCAGTGATGTGGTTTCACTCCTGTGTGAATACGCTGGTGTCTGTTGAGATTACTCTGTTGAGTAAAACTTTTCCCGCACTCTGAGCAGTGGTGGTTTCTCTCAATGATTTTATTTGTTTGTGTTTCACTTTGAGATGCACTGTTGCATAGATTATCAGAGGATGTTTGCTGAATACTTGAGCCATTTAATGGTTGGATGGATTCCATTTATTGAATTCAGCAGTGAGGCGTATTCCTCTTGTTGAGATCTCCTGATGCGCTTGTGGAAGCGAACTTAAACCATGTTGGAAGGTAGACGTGTTGAGCAGAAGATGACTTGCACCAGGACATCATTCATTTCTAGAGGAGAAAAAGAAAAATAATATTTAAAACTCAGTGTGAAATGCAACAGCATGACAATATTCAGCCAGTTTTGACCCAAAAAATATTTTGTAATATTAAGCTACTAGCTAAATAAAAAGAAAGATTTGTACCTTTAATAAGAAACAAAACCTTCAAAATCCTTATTCAAGTAACTGCTGACAGGTAGAGTTGTTATTAAAAAAAAAAAAACAATAATAAAAGGCTCAAGTAGGTATATAGCTACCTCACAGTTAGTCTCACTAGGCCAGACGTAAACTCATAAACTGGGGACAACTTGTTAACATTTTCGTGCTGGCACAATGTGCTGCTAACAAGAGTACACCATCACTAGAACTTACCCCTTAGTCCATGCTCTTTTAACGTCCAGAGTACAATCAATAACACAGGAAACAAGCTTGATGTAATATCTAGTAGAAAAAACAGCATAGACTGTGGGCAGCGTCCTGTGACCACTGATGAAGGACTAGAGGATGACCAACACAAACTGTGTAGCAGCAGATGAGCTATCGTCTCTGACTTTACATCTACAAGGTGGACTGACAAGGTAGGAGTGTCTAATAGAGTGGACAGTGAGTGGACACAGTGTTTAAAAACTCCAGCATATATATATATATATATATATATATATACACCTTTACTAAAGAACCTTTGAAGAACCCTCATTTAAGTGTGTAAGTTGGTTGGTTAGTTGTGACATTTCTTTGAAAAGACGCAAAAAGCGAGAATCTCACGTCAGAAGTGACAGATGACAACCCCAGACTTACCTTCAGCACACAGAAAGAAAGACAAGCCTATGGTACCAACTTGGTACAGGCTGCAAATACCTGCTGATACAGGGTGTTAAATCTCCACCAGACAGGAGCATAAAATTACAGATTCCTGGTAAACAAATCTACCAAACGAAAACACAGGCTAAATAGCCAGCATTAGCCTCAACCAGACGAGGATGAAGTCGGCTACTTGTTCGCCAGCTTTTATATTAGAATGTTTCCGTTCCACCTTAAACGGTGCAGCAGTTCCATTCTGGCGCCTCAGGCGTTATAATAATAACTGAGGCACCATTTAAGGTGGGACGGGAAAATTCCAACTTCAGCGGCTGCTCCTCTGCTAGCTGCCCCGTTTTCCTCTTTGACAACAATGTAGATTTTCCAGAGAACCTCCTCACTAATTCTCCAAAGCTGGATGATAAACATATGGAGAAATGATTAAGATCTCCTTACTTTCAGCAGTTCAGCTTGTTTTTCTCTCTCAGATAAACACGGATACGTGGAAGGCTGTTCGCATCTGCTTCTCCTCTTTACCATGGTTGGAGGACCACAGTTAAAGGGTTAGCGCCCCCTCCTGGCCTAAACACTGGAACAACATGATCTCGAAGACGGGCGGAGTCGGGAACGGTATTTTTAATTCTACCCGTATTGCGGCACAAACGCTTCCTGCGCTACGATTGGCTGGGAGCTCACACGAGCAGCCCTCTGATTGGCCAGTCTAGAAGTCGTTCACATCACCGTAGCAACCACAGAACGCAGTGGAACCTGAGCAGAGACTCCACAGCGGTTAGAAACTGACAGAAATCAGGGGCGTATCTAGAACTTACGGATAGTTTTCTGACCCAAAGGGAAGAGAAGATTACTATATCATCAGGTTGCCCAGTTAGCAGGCCACATCCTTGCTTTGTTCTGGCCCAGAATACGGCTTGGTCCCCGGCCCAGATCTGGCCCACACACTGTAAAGTGAGTAGAACTAAAGCATATGGCCCAAATCTGGTCCCAGTCTGGCCCAACTACCTTGTTGGTCCACAATATTCACGCCAGAATTGTCCCACAAATGTAGGCATGAGGCAAAACTGTGTGAAGGTGTCCAGGATGTGGCCCTATTCTGGCCCGCATGCCTGAGATCTACCCGGGTATCAACCCATCGTAGGAGTGCCAGAATCGGCCCAAAACTGTCTGCTATCTGGTTAGAGAGTCACAGATCCAGTTTTGTTTTAATGTTTTAAACCTACCCACGATCTAAAACCCACCTTATTTAACTTACATTAAACAATTCTTCTGTACATTCGTCTTTATTTACAGTCGAAGACCGTTAGCTTTCTGTTCAAACGGACTGTTTCGCTTCGGCGGTTGCTATGGTGACGCGAACGTCCAATCACGGACCGCTAGGTGACACTCCGAGCCAATCGTAGCGCAGGAGACATAAAAACGTCCTTTGTGGTTCCGCTGTGATCCATGGTCGCTATGGTGACGGTTTAACGGATGAACCGCTCACGATAGCAGATGAATAAATGATTTAATGTTTTTTTCAGTGTTTTCCTCTCTGTTTATAACCGCCGCGGAGTCTCCAAGGCTGCGGATTCCACTGCAGTCTGTGGTTGCTACGGTGATGTGAACGGCTTCTCAACTGGCCAATCAGAGGCCTGCGCATGTGACCCACCAGCCAATCGTCGCGCAGGAGGCGTTCTGGAATGACGTGATCGCGGTGTGACGCCCCTGCAGCCCGAGAGGGGGCGCTAACTCTATCAAGATCAGCCGTTAGGCCTCTTCCGCCTTGTTGGGGTGAGAGACAGAGCTTCACTGTTCACAGTAAGACGATGTTCATCTGTTTGTGTTGTTTACAGGGTGTTTTCGTTGTTGGCCCGTGGAGAAGCGTTTGGGAAGCAGTCTGCACTTCTAAAATCGTCAAAAATACTTGTGATCCAAACACAGAAGAAGCCTTCGGCCAAACCTGGCTGAGGCCAATGCTAGCTTAGCCTAGCCTAGCTCTCCCAGTGTTTATGTTTGTTTGCCAAGTTGGCTTAATATAGACACTTGGAAAAAAAATGCTTCTTTAGTGAAGGCAATGGTTTTATTTAGAATCATGAACACTCATAGAACCATCTGCATGCTTAAATGGTTCTTTTCATGGTGAACTCGTTCTTGACATTGATGGAGAGTGTTGAATTTTTTTTTATATAGCACCAACAAAAGGGTTCTGCTGTTGCTACGATGTCAAGCTTGTAACAGAAAAAATAACCCTTTTTGAGCAACACATTCTCCATCAATCTTAAGAACCTCTTTGCATGGTGAAATGGTTCTTCAGGATGGAGAATGTGTTGTATACGGATCTACATAGAACCTTTTTTGAAAATGGCTCCATATAGCACAAAAAGGGTTCTTTTATTGTTACAAGCTTGACATCGTAACAATAGCAGAACTCTTTTTGGTGCTATACAGGACCATTTTCAGCACGCTCTAAATAGAACCGTTGCCTTTACTAAAGAAAGAAATCTTGAAGAACCATAGTGTGTAGGCTAGTCCTTTTTGGGTGTTGTCAGGCTACCCTGTAAAGACTTTTCTGATACTATATGTATGACATGAAAGATCAGTCTGTCGTCTTATCACTAGTCATGAATTAACATGGAACATAATGTAGTATTTGAGAAGGGCGTTTCCAAATACTGTTTTACTGATAACATTTTCATTGTATTGCTTTCAAATGGGTTTCAACTTGAACAAAAATTGCATCACACAGGAACATGTCCAGACAGTGCTTGGGCCAGACAGTTCTGCAGAAAAACTGTCAAGAAATAGTTCTCCGTCTATAATTGCATATCAAGTAGTTACTGGCCAAGTATTTTGATATTTGTCAATTATGTTTAGCTTCCCTCATCTAAATGTTTTATAGGCTAGAATGTAAATAATCGATTCCATGTCAAATTGCGTGTAATAATAATTCTGGTAGTGAAATATAGGTTTAAACTTTTACGAAGGTAAAAGGATACAAAGAAAATATGGTGTTCATTTATCTTTAGTTAAGATTGTATTAATAATTGATTTGTTTGGGAGACTGAGATCCCATTTACACCGGGTCACTTCATGTGTCTTATGTATCAGAACCCTTAATTCAGAAATTTTATCTTACAGCATCTTATCTCAAGTTAGGAAATCTTGAACTACTTGATCGAAGTTGACAATCATCATGTCTGTTCCCTAGCAACTGACCACATGTGCACAGCTGAAACGTAAACAGTTTCAGTTTCCATTTCCCAAACGCTTCAGCCGAGCGTTCAGCTCCGTCTCTTCATTATTCACCACCATCACTGTAATATTTCATCATCAACTTTAACACACAAAGGTAATCAGAGGGGCGGTGGAGATCGAGTCTGCAGCGTCTGAGATCTTTAAAACGCAGAGTTAGAAAAGAAAATCATCTCACAGTGAAAGCAGCGTTTTACAGTAGAAATAAATGGAGCTCATTATGCTGGTAGTGAACTATGCTGCCTGACTCAGCTGCCTAAAAACCATAGAAACGGGCCTTAAACAGAAGTTAGGACCCTGTTGGGGTTCATCCTAAAGTTAGGACAGTATTTAGGAGGTTTAGTCTAGTTAGGATGTTTGCGTAATACTGTTTTCTTATCTGGAGTTAATGATGAGATTATGAAGTTAGGAACTGTTAATCTATAATAGATACTGTCCTAAATTCAGTCCCAACTGAAGTCGTCATGGAGACTAAACATATACGATTTCAGAGTTAGGATGTTTTGTTATACGGCCACCTGGATTATATCTGGATGAGGCCAAGACGCATAAAAATGTGAGTGTAAACGCACAAAAGACACATTAAAAAAAGGACACAAATCCAATCACTTAAACCACTTCAGGAGGTGGACTAAGATGCATTTGAGCCACGTTATAGCAGCGTAAACACATCTGTCTCTCCTAGACACCGAAAGTCCTCCCCATGCAGTGCATCACTGAGCT